AACACACCATCAACTTGATTTGTTCATGTTGAATCTTCACGAATTTCCATCATAGTGTCGTAGAAATCCAATGTTGGAACGATCATGAATAACCGTCATCCCGCAATGAAGAAATTCGGGATGGTTCAACATAATTTTTGATGGTCCAACATAAAAAACAAAGCAAATTGTTCTGATGGACCAACAAGAATTCCCATTAAACCAGCATGAACCACCACTGATCATCATGGATTGTTGGTTCATGAGAGTCAAACTTCTCTTGATGGTTAATCATCATAGTATTAAAGTAGCATTTTCCATCATGGAAATTTGCACTGAGTGGAAAAAGTCACTGATTAGTTGAATTATTTTAAAGATTGTAGCCTTTCATCTACAGCTTTACATATTTGTTAAGAATAAGCTTTTAGTTCTTGTTGAAACTAATCATTAATAAGAGACTTTGCGAATTTGCATTTGCTTAAGCCGTTGGAGTAAAAATTGCACCAATTAAAATTCAGCTGTACTTTGGAATTCGATAAGTGCAATGTTTACACGAGTTCGGTTTATCACAATATAAAGAAAATTTGAAATAAAAAAATGCCTTTTTTGAGAAAAACTATTTCCTTCAGTATTAAAAAAAAGTAATATTGTGGACTTTTTAATAATTTTTGAGGCCCCCCAAAAAGTGTGGAAAGTTTACAAATTTATTTATTTATTTCATAAAAGTTTATTTTGTTTTATGATTTAAACTACAAATTTCAGAAACGGAAAATTTTAAGAAATTTATAAATTTGTGAAGGAGAGATTTAAGTTTGGTTATGGTAAAAAGTTTTTAAGATTTTATATCAATTTTCAATTTATGTAAGCTTATTTCATTTTTTACCAAGTCGTTTGAAACCTAAACTAAATAATTTATTTTGCGAATTGATAAATTTGTTTCGATTAGGAGCAACATAGATTTAGTTTAGTATAAATTCAAGAAGAAATAAATAAAAATTAAAAACAGCTTATAATAAAATTTAAAGTGATGCAATTAATAATATTCTTTTCTCATCATGACTTTGATTAAAATAATTTTTGTAAATAAAAAAATAAATAAGTAAGTAAAAAATAAACGAATAAAAACAAGTTTTATTGTTTAATTACTTTTATAATAAAATTACTTTTATTATAAAATTACTTTAATTTCAATAACTAGATTTTACTTAGATGACTTAGATTTTAAAATAATTCAAATGTGCAAAACTCTAACTGAAAAACTCCCTTCGCTCCAAAATTATAAAATGATTTTAATAATTTTAAATATGAATTTTTTTAAAAAATTGATGCACACAGAAAGTGTACGTTTTCACCACTCTTAATATATTAGTTAGGAGTTCTTATAAAAATCTAAGAAATTAATTATTGGAAATTAGTATATAATCGAGAAAAAAAAACGAAGACTTTATAAAATAATAAATTATTAAAGAAGTAAGCTAGTTTAAAAATGTTGAAACCTGTTAGATTTCCAGAAAAATATACACTTTCTAAGAATTTAAGTTAGTATATTTTAAAACTACTTCAAAATTTCCAGCATGGATTCTAACTGGTTTCGAAATTTCCATCATGTTTGAAAACTGGTATCAAAACTGGCATCAAAACTGGTTGAAAACATGTTTGAAAACATTGCACAACCGACCAGATTGCGAGTTAACGACTACTAATATTCAA